TATCAACCTTTTCTTTTGCCTGTTGTTTGTTGCGTCATATGGATGTTTCTTGTTTTTCTGCATGACTGTGACTATTTGAGCAGCCACCATGTCCCACCCTGTTGGACTCCATGGTGTTTTGCCTCAGTGTCTGTCTCTTGTGTCAGCTTTGCCTGTGCCACATCGTGGCCTGTTAAGCAAGATCCTACAAAGAAGCAGTCATTTAAAAGGAGCAGGTGCTATACATCAAAGGCCCAGCACTCAAAGGAAATAAGAAGAAATTCTTTTCCTAGCTTTCTTTCCATTTGGCATTCTGCTTCCCTGGCTAGAAAAACCTCCTTCGTCTGTGTTAGATGAGACATTGCATGATATTTACTATTAATTGAATGATAATAGCATAGCTGATGTAAAGTTTGTCAAGAAAAATGAAAATGACAGCCCCTAGCAACATCATCGTTGTTAGTGTTGATTTTTATGGTTTATATTACCTTATTTGTTAGAATTCCAAATGATGGATAAGGAGTATTTTGTGCTAATCGCTGTGAAAATGTATATCAAATGACAGCCTCTGACCCTCCAAGCCACTGCCCCATATTCCATACCTCTTCAAATGAAAGAGTAAATTTTATCTCTCAGTATAATTAAAACAAATTTTTTAGCAGCAAGGATTTTTTTGTTTGTTTCTTGAACATATTTATTCTTAAGCCAAGCACAATCTGATTACAAAGCTCACATACCAGTCATAAGACTCCTGTTGGAAAGCTGCTAAAGAATAATAAAAGCAAAACCACCCATGAGTGATGTCATTCAGTAATTGAAATTTATTTTTTAAAAAGAAGACTCTGGAAAATCAGTCTCTGAACAATATCTGTCTTTGGTCTCTTGCTCTGTTACTGAATAGCATTTATGTTCAAAGAAGCTCGGTTTCAGTCTCTGAGTGAGTGTTCACAGACAAAGTTAACACAGCTTTCTGAACATCCTAAATATATTTAAGAGGATGGAAACCCTTGAAAGGATTCATACTGAGGGTGGAATATAGTTAGTTTTACAGTGCTATGACTGATACCCACTTTCAGACAACATCTTTAAAGTGTTAATGATAACAGCTTTTTCATGCCATCGGGTCCTACTAAAGTTATTCTGGAATGGAGGAGGCTCAGTGTGATCAGAGCAAAGAGGCACTTTTCTGTGTCTGCAGCTTTATTTACAAGGTATTATAATCCTTGACATTGGAGAGAAAGCAGATATGCAAAAAGGAGCCATTTTAAAGTGTTAACTTTCTCTTTAGTAGTGCCACCGCTCACATTATGCATTGTAGCCTTATTCTGGTAGAGAATGCTATTAGAGTCACTAGGAATTCTGTGCAAAACTTCAAGGCTGAATATAGCCCTTTGCATTACTAGTTCAGAAAAACACATGCTCAGGTTTAAATGCAAACGTAAAACTGAAGTCAATGACATGCCATTACCTGTTATGTACTGTACCGAGCAGAGATTTCTTCTTGAAGTGTGGCCTGAATCTGAAATAGTAGATAATTTTAAAAGAGAGTCCTTTGGGAGTGCCAAATCAGGAGAGGTAAGAGTTTTGCTGTTTAACAAAATAAACTACAGAGACCAAAGACAGCATTTAATGTTGGGTACTTATGATGACAAGCAGTGCAAGTGTGATAAGTATAGAAATGAAAGCTAAGTGTGTTATTAAACAGGTTTTAGTGCCAAATGTTGAAAATTTAACCCTCCTGGGGGAGGGGTTGTCTTTAAAATACGCTAAACAACGTATTCTAAGAAAAAATGACTAACATGACCTCTTGTTTAGCAAAAAGGACAGTAAATACTTGTTTGAAATATCCAAGGCTGACTGTACTCTGAAAAGTTACAGTCCATAATAGTCAACTAACTGAGCCTTGATTTGATTATTTCTTATTTCATGTTAGTTCAGTATAACTTTATATGAGATTTAAAAGAACAGGAAAGTCAAAAGATCATTTGTTCTTGAATAAAAAATATACTTTTTGCCATTTTGTATGATTAATGGTGAATTGCAATCTTGTTTTCTTCTAACGATTTACGTTATAACTATTTTTCGAGTGATGGGAATATCCGGCATTCAGCATAAGCTCTTTGTGATGTCTCATTTCCTCATTCATTATTGTCTGTAAATGGGCATGGTGCTTTAACCAGTGTTATCAGGTGAAGACAGTGCAGGAAGTGAGCAGCCACTCTCACCTGGTGAAAGGCTCCCTCCCATCAGACGCTCTAGTACAAGAGACAAAAACAGAAGAGGGGGAACATGTTTCCTACTGACGACAGGTGATTACACGTGTGCTACTGATGGAGGGATCAGGAAAGGTATGGACTTCTTTCATTAGATCATAAAAGGTTACTCCACAATGTGCTTGTGAAAAGCAATCTTAGAGTAAAATGATGTGCACAATGCTCTTAGAGGAAAGACTGTACTCACAATGTATCTTTTTTCTTTATTCCTAGTCATTCTTTTCCTGCTTTCCTTTTAGAAACACTCATCTCCTTTAGTCTTCACAAAATGTGCTTGATGTTGGAACCTCATTTCACTTGAGTCTTCATTTGTCTGTTATCTTTAATGGAAAAGCTTGCAATTCAGACCTTGCTCATTCAACCACTCATCGCTCAATACCATTTGTCATTCTAAAAGACAAATTAATTATTTAATAACTTTGGTCTGCACTTAATAACTTAGCAAAAATCACAGCTGAATAAATTACACTTAAAAGGTTGAAATGTCAGAAGTAAGCAACGTTCTTATTCTGAACACAACAAAGCATATCATATGAGATGCTATTTAGATTTCTTTCAAAGAAAAGTTTGAGTTTATAATGCCACAAAATGTTTCCTCTTTGTAATACACCACTGATGCGAAAAGGTGACTGTCTACCCCAACCCGAATTCAACTACAGTAAACAACACTTGATCTTGCAAGGTGCTATAAATGCCTTTCTAGTTATTCAGCCTCTTCAAATCTGATTACTCACTGTTCAGTAGGATTGGGTTCCCCAGGCGGAGTTTGCAAAACCTTCTGTCGTCATATGTATCACCCATGTGACTGATGGTGTGGCTACCCCATCAGGCCACAGCTGGCTGTGGCTGCAAACCTAACCTCAGGGCATAGCCCCAAAAGCAGCAATGCCAGTGGTAGTCTTGCCTTTTCCTTAGATAAGAATTGCTTTGGTTTCTTGGCAAATTGTAACATTCCAACAGGTTTCACGTTCCTGAGTGCTGATGTGCAGTCGTTCACCTCAGAGTTCATCTGCAGTAGCCATGTGGCACCGGACAAACATTTTTGGCTGAGATTTTTCTGCCTTTTTGTTTTTTTTTTTTTAACTTGCTTTATGTGCAGGAAACATAGCTGTCCCAGCCAGCCATAGACTCTAAAGGAATTCTCTTGAGTTATTCTGCAAATGCTCTTTTTACATTTCAAAAGCATGAGCTCAGTAGGTTAAACCTGTGAAGGCAGATATGCAACCAGAGTTCGATGTGTATGGTATTTGTAAAGAGTATGATTGTCTCTATGCTCCTGTGTTTTATAACACATATATATAATGTTTAGATTAAATGGGACTTCATTGCAAACATGTTTTTGCACAGATTTAGGACACTTTCCACTGAGCGTATATCTCACACTGTCTTCTCAACAACTAGGATTATTTAAAATATCTCTAGTGGTAGGAGTCCAGTCTCTGAGGAGGTCAGGAACACCTGAATAAGGAGATTGCCATGGCATCTTGCAAGATAAGGTTCTTGACTTCTTTTAGGAATGTTAGTATAAACATTTGAGTGCTGTTCACTTGGCAGTTACTGTAATTAGAACAGATCAGAAATAATATAAGTAGTTACCCATCAGCTACTAAAGACATATTCATAAAACAATAAAACATATTTTATACTGGGACCACATGAACATTTTCATTTCAAAATCTAGATTCAAGAGAAAATTGCTTCATAGTTTTTACTAGAAAAATGGGGCTTGAGTTCAGAACTGTCAGTTTCTCAATGAGAAATGTGCTCTTTGACTGGCTCTGATGATAACCTTAGTCTAGGCTGAAATGTTTTAGCCACTGGCTTTCAAGTTTATTTTATACAGAGTAGGGAAGTTAGCTCGTAGGCAGAAAACTGCTTCAAGTAGCATCCAAATGGTTTTGAATACCTGAATTCACACATCAAGTCTACTACTTCTTCATTTTATTTTTTCCCTTTCTTTCTTTTGGTACATCTTTCTTGTTTGGTTGGTTCCTTGGTTGGTTCTTGGTTGTGTTCAATAATCATTTGTTCTGAGCTTTTTTGCATAAACACCTTATCTCCATCTCTAAGATGATACTGATTCAGAGCTGATCCAAACCCCACTAAAATACCCGATTTTGGATCATGCCTCTATCTCTTGTCATCTTGTGTATCTGGTTTTCATTTTTTAGGAGTTCCTGTTTTCTTTATCATCTTTAACATCTTCCTCTATCAGTTCTTTGCTTTCATCATTAGAAAAGTAACAGGAAGAAATACTTTCCTAGTTTCTGTGTAAAAAAGCTACCTGATTATTTTGACTATTTTGGGGGTAAGATTTATGTTTACAGGGGAGGTTAAATATATACACTAGCATTGTGCTTCCCCTCGATTCCCCTTTCAAACATGATTCTTTCTAACCTCGGTAAATACTGATGGAAACTCAGAAGCTGGAGGCTATTTTTGAAATGTATCAGAAGTCTGTGAAGCATCACAGTCTAGCCTGCCCTTGCAATCTGGAGATAACATTGCACAACGTTTTAGCAGACATGGGGTTATACATTTGCTTTAAGTATAGTTTTACAGTATGCAATTCTCAGTAGGTAAGAAATATGTTAATTGTCTTTAGGGGAGAACCTAAGATACGATTTTTCCTGAAGATGCTAACAACTGTCTGTGAACTGTCTGTTATCTGGAGATCTGGAATTTGAGCCAGTAACTATTTCAGTAAGAAAAAAAAATGTCTGGTGATGTCCCGTGTAATGTTTAGCTGTATTGTCATTGACATTTTATAGTTTCTGTGGGAAAAGTCTCAGTATTTCACTGTAAGCAATTTATACCCGAATATCTTAACCTGACAAATGCCTAGATGCATACTTGTCTTCAAGGTAGTGCATTGAAATCAATGGGGCTTCTCATGCTTGCCGTGAAACATGTATCCATGTACTTCAGGAGCGAGGTCCTGTCCAGCTTCATCTTCGTTGTATTTCCTTGCTGATATCTCTCTCCAGACCGATGGACAGATCCTTTTCTTCATAAGTGGGCTTATTCAGGTGCTATTGAAAATACTTGGGTATGATGATAGTGATGTAGTGAATAGCAATGCTTTTCCGTCGTTTTACAGCATAGACTCTACAAGGTGAAAACAATCTATATGTAGCAAAAAGTAGGTAGCTAGAGCTCACAGCGTATGTGAACAGAAACGTCTGCAAGTGCAATGTTCCCTCCAAATTGTGAAGCATTATGTGGTTGCCTCATTTAGTGATTAATTATTTACTACTTGCTTATGTGGATTAATACCTTTTATTTAATCTGAGTCAGCTGGAGAAGGAGCACAAATATGGTGTTTTAAATTTGCCAATCAGGAGGCATTTACAAATATGTCAAACTGTTATCTTATTATACTTTAATATTAGACAAAAAGTCTTAGGGTTAATATTTCTGAAGATGGAGCTTCTTTCCCATATTATCATTCAATCCTCTGCAGAAGTGATTTACACATACTGTATGCAATTTATCTGGTTTTTATTTTATTTATTTTTTAAGAAAAATCATCCTTTATTAGGAATTGGGTTTAGCAAAGATTATATATTTCTAACAGTTTTTATAGTCTGTCTTAATGGGTTTTTGATTATGCTTAGCCAGATAGCTCACCCAGTAACCCTGTTGGGATCCTTTTTCTTGCACTCTGTGCAACCCTGTGGAAGCCAACAGAGCGGCATTGAGTGCAAGATGGGATGTGGAAGAGTGGGTCAGACCTCTTGTGTGATGGTCTGTTTAATTTTCTGGAAAAGAATAGCTGCATTAATTTGTAAATAATTTTATTTATTTTGGTAGTAATGTGTCTCAGCATTGAGTTCTTTTGCAGGCAGATTCCCTCTGAGTCCCAGATAGCTCCTTGGATTACATTACGTTGTATTGTTTGTCGTTGTCTATTTTTTGGCTGAATTCAACTGATGTCTGTGCATTTTCTCATACAAGGCTATGAAAAATCTCGAAGCTTAAACAACATAGCTGGCTTGACAGGCAATGCTCTGCGACTGTCTCCAGTAACATCACCCTACAGCTCACCTTGTCCTCTAAGGCGCTCTCGGTCTCCCATCCCTTCCATCTTGTAAACCAGATGGCATCAATCGGCTACATAGTATTAATTCAAATACTGTTTACCACATATTGGAAATAAATGTAGCATTAACCATAGGCTCCACAAATATGGTATAACTCCTGCATGGTATAACTGTCAGTAGTAAGAAATGCCACCTGGGTAGCTGAAGATCTTTATCTTGGCTTTTAAAGATTACCTAAGGTAGCGCTTCTCCTTTGCTCTACTATATTGTCCTACTTTCCTGTGGCAATAAAAGGACAGTTAGTGGATGCCGTTGGCCAGTATATTCAATAAATAAGGATATTTTCAGGGAGATTTACTTAAAATAATGTGCTTCCAACTAATTATCAGTCACTCCATTGAACCTCCATTTGTTGTGACTCTAATCCATCCTGAAGATGTCTGGAATCGTGTCTTGGTTGCACACAATGTGACTTGGGTTTGCTCATTTGCATGGACCATCCTGTCTCCATCACCTGACAAGCAGTGTTGCTGATCACGGAGACCACAGGGGGCTCTGGATGTGTGTGCTCGCATTGTACCATCCTGCTGA